CGCACGCCCCAACCCCTGCTCTCCCCGGGCCCCCCCTGCTCAGGGCTGGGGCAGCTGCTGGTGCTGCTCGGGGAGCCCAGGAACCACCAGCGGGTCCATCCTGAGCTTGTGGGAGGTGCTGGGGGACTCGGGAACCATCTCTCTGTCATAAACTCCAATAAAATACCAAGCTGACTGAGCCTGGGTGTGCCTGTAGTGAGTGGTGGCAGAGCTGGCAGCCAGTCCTGCTCTGGTGTTGTCTCTTCCCACCCTGTGGCAAAGGAGGGGGGAACCAGGGATGGGCCTTGGCCACATGTGGCAAAGCTGTGGCCATAACCCAGGAAGCACAGGAGGCAACAAACTTCGGTCAGCATTTTTACCAGCCAGGTACAGAGCTCTGAGCAGCTACTCGGCGGCAGAGGGTTGGTGGCTTTTGGTTCGGTTCTGTTGCTTCTTTGTTTTGGTTCTTTGTTCTTCGTTGTTGGGTTTGGTTTTTTTTGTTACAGTCAAATCAGAATGTGACCCAAGTTTACAGGATCAAAAATTGAGGCTCTACCCCCCCTAGAGCCTGAACACCAGCTGGTGGGGGGGCAGCCAGGCTCCCCCACACACTCCACCCTGTGGCCAGCACGGCTTCAGGCTGGCTGTGCTGGGGGGGGGCGGTTGGGCAAGCAATGGGTGCTGGCCAAGAGCCCCCTCTTGCCTTTCCAACATGGAATGAGGTCCTGGACCTTCCTAGCCAGCACCACAGCCTGTCCTGCTGCTCTTGCCATGGCTGAAGCCTTCCCATTCCCTCATCCAAAGTGCTTCGATTCCTGGCGGGCCCGGCTGGCTGGGAGCAGGGCAGCTCCACCTGCAGCAGCTCCAGCAGCTCCAGCCCCCACATTCCTCTCCACACCTGCCAACCAAGTGTCAGCCCAGCAGGAAGAAGGTGCCAGGCCTGGGCCTGGAGTCCAGTTTTTTAAAAAAAAAAAAAAAAAAAAGGAAAAATAAAGCTGTAGTACTTAGGAAAGTGAAACCAACACCATTTTTTGCATAAATATATCATCAAGGCCGTGGAGGCTAAGGCTGTTTGCTTCCTGTATTAAGTTAGTTGCCAGTTCCACACTCATCCGTTGACCTGCCCAGGTCCCTGAGAGATTTGGGTTCCCATCAGCGGGGGCACCGTCCTGCAGCTGCGTCCGTCAGGCCGTCTCTCCCCGTCCGTCTGCAGAGAGCAGAGAGCCCGTCAGCCCCCCGGGGCCTCCCACAGCCCTGCCCCCCGGGCGGGCACCCCCAGTGCAGCCCACCAGCCTGTAGCTCAGGAATTGTACAGCTCAGGAACTGTATAGCTCGGGAATTGTATAGCTTAGGAGCACATAGCTTGGGAACCCATAGCTCAGGAACCCATAGCTCGGGAACCCATAGCTCAGGAACCAGTGCAGCCCACCAGCCTGTAGCTCAGGAATTGTACAGCTCAGGAACTGTATAGCTCGGGGAACCCATAGCTCAGGAACCCATAGCTTGGGAACCCATAGCTCAGGAACCCATAGCTTAGGAACCCATAGCTCAGGAAACCATAGCTTAGCAACCCATAGCTTAGCAACCCGTAGCTCAGGAACCCATAGCTCAGGAACCTGTAGCTTAGGAACCCGTAGTTTAGGAACCCGTAGCTCAGGAACCCATAGCTCAGCAACCCATAGCTCAGGAGCCCATAGCTTAGGAATCCATAGCTTAGCAACCCGTAGCTCAGGAACCCATAGCTCAGGAACCTGTAGCTTAGGAACCCGTAGTTTAGGAACCCGTAGCTCAGGAACCCATAGCTCAGCAACCCATAGCTCAGGAGCCCATAGCTTAGGAATCCATAGCTTAGCAACCCGTAGCTCAGGAACCCATAGCTCAGGAACCTGTAGCTCAGGAGCCCATAGCTTGGGAACTGCACAGCTCAGAAGCACAAGCCCCTCCAGCAGCAGCATCCCCCCCGAAGTTCTGAACCAGGCCCCCCTCCCTCGTACCTTGTGCCGGGAGGCTCTGAGCCGGCGGCTCCGCGTCGCTCCCGCCCGGTGTCCCCGCCGCCTCGCTCTTAGTCCTGCTCTCGTCCGCCGGCACCGCCTTGGCCTTCCCGCCTGGCACGGGGCCGCTCAGCGCCTCTGGTCCCGGCGTCTTTGGGCTCAGGGGGGAAGGAGCTGGTCCTGGGCCAAGCGAAGGCTTCTTGGCTACTGGCGGGGGGACCTTGCCGGGTCTTCGCTGGGCTTGTGCCTTGCCAGGGCCCTGCTGGGCAGCAGCCGGG